TCCTTCTCCTCTTGGATTTTGGGACATGCAAGTGCACACACCTAGCTTTATTACCAAGCTGATAGTCTGATGGGACTTGAACCATAGTCAGCCACATAGAAGTCCTGCTGGCCCAAAGGCATCCTCATTATTATTTTTATAAATTTTTTGTTTTGTCATAGGGCATATGTATTTTCCAGAGAGTGACAGAAACACAGAGTGGAAAAGTGAGAAATTGCTTCTCCTGGAAGATGGCCATGCCCCAATCCTTTCTCCTCCATTTTCCTCCTGAGATTGTGGGCATGTGTGCATATGCATCTAGCATAATTTCAAGCTGCGAGGTCTGGATGTTAAACCATGATAAGCCATGTGGGAATCTAGTGCCTTAACCACCCCACCACCTGCTGGCCCCAAGGAAACGTCATTGATAACATCTGACACATCTATTATTCTCCCACTTGCTTATGTCCATCTCCTCAGGGGACATACTCATATCTCTCTTTCTTTTCTTTTTATTTATTTATTTATTTATTTATTTATTTATTTATTGCTATAGGGGTACAGAAAGATAGAGAGAAATAAAGAGTGAGAAAGCAAGAAATCATCTCCCAGGGTGAATGGTCACACTGCAATCCCTTCTCCTCTATTCTCCTCTCAGGATCTTGGGCAAGCATGCACTCACGCCCAGCGTGAGTTTAAGCCACTGGGTCCAGGACTCAAACCGCGGTTGACTACATGGGACTCCAGTGATGTAACCATTATACCATCTGATGGTCCCTTGTTTATCTAAAAGTCAGCGGTTGACTACATGGGAATCCAGCAACATAGCCATTACACCAACTGCTGGTCCCAACATACCCATATCTCTAAGTCAGACTCTGGAATCTCAGCTGCTCACAGCAACTTGGAGGTTCACAAGGGTGGGCTTCAAGATTTTTCTCTGAGAGGTTATATCCAATAGGGAATGCTCACTCCAGAGGAGATGGGCACCATTGGTAGAAAAGGAGGGTACATCTGGCCCCAAAGGCAAATCCATGGAGAAAAAGTTCCTTCAAGTTATGGTTCCCTGGACACCCAGGAGCTGAATTGCCCAAAGACTTGAGCAACAATAAACAACGTGTCATCTAGTTTTGTCTTAATGAAGAGCTCTGAGAATTCACTGTCTGAGTTTCTATAAGAGTAAGTCCTCCATCTTCAGAGCTCAGCTACATCTCACCAGCTCCAGTCAACAAGTACCCTCTCTGTGCCTCTCTGAAATGCTCATTTGGTCCAGAGAACCAGGGTCTGACATCCAGTCCCTGACACCCACGGTCCCAGGAGGGAAAGACCAGGAAAGCCAAGTTTGTTCAATGATAGCATCAAAAGAGACCAGAGTGATTCTACTAAGTACCATGAGAAAGTGGTGTGGAGGGAAGGAAAGTGTTGCATTAGTGGTGTCTTCTGGGGTATGGTCTGGGGTGATGAGCTAGTGAAAGGGGATTGATTCAAAGTCTTACATAGTTCACGTCGCTAGCTCTGCAGGAAATCTGTGCAGCCTATTCCAAGTTTCTTTCTTTGTTATTTTATTCTGTTTATTTACTGTAGGGCATATGCATTCTCCAGAAAGAGACAGACAGAGAGAGAGAGAGAGAGAGAGGAAAAGTGAGAAATCATTGCCTGGGGAGATGGCCACACCACAATCCCATCTCCACCATTCTCCTCTCAGGATTTAGGGTATGCACTTATATACTTCCAGGTGAATTTTTAAGCTCTAGATCTGGGACTCAAACCATGCTGCTGGCCATGTGGGATTCAGTCACCTTCACCTTCATGCCCCTTGTTGGCCCTCTTCTTGCTTTTAATCTCAGAGCACAATTCCAGAGCCACTTTCTTTCTGCAGCAGAAATAGACCTTTCCTTACATGTGTTCAAGTATCAGGGACTCAGCTCTATTTCTCCTTTATCATTTCCTCTTAACTGTAGGACATTGACTGAGGGAGGCAGTCCCAAGGAGTGAGAAAGTTTCTGACTTGGAATCCAACAAGCATGAGTTCTACTTCAGTCTTTTCCTTCCATGACCTGATGGACCCTGGAGATGTTTCTTAGCTTCTGTGGATCTATTTCTCATCAGCACACCTGTGAGTATAAAATGTGGCACTAGAGGGATGAGCAGATGGCAAAATGCTTACATTGCTGGACTCCCACTTAGTAGACGATGGTTCAAGTTCCAGACCCGGTGGCTTCAGATTCACACTGGGCACATGTGTATGCATGTCCAAAATTCCAAGACGAGAGATAGAAAAAGTGAGAAAGCAAGCTACCAGGTCCAGGACTTGAACCACAGTCAGCCATGTGTGAGTCCAATTAACCACCACGCCACCTGCTAGCCCCAATAAATAAGTCATTTAAAAAAAAAAAACAGTTGGTTACAGCAAGATTAGTGTTTGTAGATGTGACTCCTCAGGGCCCCTTAGAAAGTATCTTAGAGTTCCCACTTAATATATACCAAATGTCTTCACTCTAGGGCAGAAACTGAAAGATTATAAGGTATAAAAGCGTGGAGAACAATTATGGATACTACAGACCGTTTGGAAGGAGGGTGAGAAATGGGGGTTGGGTGGGAAGGACAGAATCAAGACGGAAAAGAAGCAAAACATTTAAAGGACACAAAAATGAAAAATTATCTGTTGATGATAATATGAATGCTAATATCTTTGACTGGACTAATATACAGTGTAGTCATTTCTGGAAAACTCATTTGGTGTGCTATAGTGATATACAGTTATTGAACATAAAAAAAAAAGAAAAGGAAAGAAAGAAAAAAATAAAAAGAACGTATCCTAACATAGAAAAGTAATTAGGATTCTGTCCTCTAAAGATCTCAGAGAATGCTTGTGAGATGACAGATACAACAGGTGACGTTTAGAACCCAATGCTGGAACAAACAAGAGGCATAGTGGCTACAGTACTGTACTCCTACATGGCTGAGCACAGTTTGAGTCCTGGACCTGATGGCTTGAAAATCACTCCATGCGTGCATGCATGCCCCAAATCTCAGCATATAATGGAGGAGAAGGGATTGTGGTGTGGCAACCCCCTGGCAGGGAGGGGTGATTTCTCACTTTCCATCTCACTGTTTCTCTCTGTCTCTCTGTGGTGAAATGCCCTAAGGCAAAATCCCTAAATAAAATAAGAATAAAATTAAGTATTTCTCTGTAAGTCTAATACCTGAACTTTCTCAGGGTCAGATTTTATTAATTAATGTTTCCCTATGCCATGCTTTCTTTTTTTCATTGCATGCCTCATAATATTCTGATGAGAGCTGGATATTTTGAATAGTATAATATGGTAACTCTAGAAATTTAATTCTCTCTCCAGCGTGGGGCTTATTATGGTTTGTGGTTTTCTGTTTGCTTAATGACTCTTCTAAATTATTGGGTCATCAGAAAAGTCATCCATAAAAAACAAGCCCCTGGCATTTGATAGAAAGTGGTCAGATATGGAGGATCTATTGCTGAGTGAAGCAAGCCATGATATGAAAGAAAGATATTGTATGTATCCACTTAATATATATCAACTATCTGCACTTTATGGTAGAGATTGAAATATGGGAGGGCATAAAAGCAGTGGAAATAGTTAGCGATGATAAGACAGTGTGAACCGAGGCAGGAAAAGAGAAGAGTATGGAGAAGGATAGTAAGAGAACAAATAGAGAGGCATGACATTAGTGGGATTCAGATATGGTTTATTACCTGTTGATGATGGTGTGTATGGTAATTTCTACTGGACAGGTCTGAAAAGTATTCCATGATGCGTAAAGTCTTTTATAAACAAAATGATAAATAGTGATTGAAAATTCAAAAAAAAATTGGAATACTTATAATAATCTGAAAAAATAATGAAAGCTATTTGATGATGATGATGGGGATTTTAATGTCTTTGTATTGACTGATATGAATGGTATTCCTTCTTGAAAAAGAAGTGTAATACACTGTAAAGTTATATGTGATTCAATGTAACATAAACAAGATTATGATAATTTTTAAAAGAAAGAAAAGTCACGATGCATTTTTACATAGAAAACCATAGAAAAAAACATCATGACTTTTCCAGTGACCCAGTAATTTTCGAAAGACTGCATGTTTTTTGTCAGGTGTGCTTACCTAAGTCTCTATTCTGTTTCTGGCTAGCCAGTGGGAAGCCAGGCTGTGGGGTGTGTAAATACCATAGAACCAAAGTTACATTTTATACCAAAGGTTGGCACTCTATGACAGAATCTGAAAGAATAGCAGCTATAGAACCATGCAGAATGGTTATGGATACTGGAGACAGTGTGGGAAGAAGGTGGGAGAAGGGGGAAAGTGTAGGAAAGAAATTAAGGAGAAAAATAGACACTTATGCAACAAAAAATGGATTATTATCTGTTGATGATAACGTGTAGTATCGTCAACTGGACTGGTGTGAAGTGTATTCATGTCAGATAAATTTACTTTATAAGCTAAGTATGTATAGTGATTTAATATGTAAAACAAACTCAAATAAATAAATAAACAAATAGATTTTTAAAAAGTAGTGGTAGTTGGGACCAGCAGTTAGCATAATGGCTATGTCTCTGGACTCCCATGTAGTCGACCATGGTTCGAGTCCTGAACCCAGTGGCTTAAACTCACACTGGGTGCATGTGCGTGCATGCACAAGATCCCAAGAGGAGAATGGAGGAGAAGGGATTGCAGCTTGGACATCACCCTGGGGGATGATTTCTCACTTTCTGTCTCTCTGTCTCTCTCTGTCTTTCTGGTGAGCACATACACCCTATAGCAAAAACTTCTCCAAAAAGAGAGAGAGAGAGAGAGAGAGAGAGAGAAAGAAAGAAAAAAAGTAGTGGTAGCAAGGAAAAGAATGGAAGCATTTCGAATTCCCCAATGGAAGAAAAGAAGGAAAAGGAACAATTGCATGAATTCTTTTGCCTGAAATTAAATGTAACCAAATTTCAGTGCTGTCATTGTGTTAATTGTCTGTTACTCCTCTCCTCTTCCCTGGCAGCTATTTCATTCCCATGGAAACAGGAAATCAAACACGTGTTCCAGAATTTCTCCTCCTGGGATTTTCAACAAAGTCAGAGATTCAGTTCATTCCCTTCGGGCTGTTCCTGTCCATGTACCTGGTCACCATCATCGGGAACCTACTCATTATCCTGGCCATAAGCTCAGACTCCTACCTGCACACACCCATGTACTTCTTCCTCTCCAACCTGTCCTTCACTGACATCTGTTTCACCTCCACCACCATCCCAAAGATGCTGGTGAACATCCAGACACAGAGCAAGGTCATCACTTATGCAGGCTGCCTAACTCAGATATTCGTTTTCATTGTGTTTGGGTTCCTGGACAATTTAATCTTGTCCGTGATGGCCTATGACCGCTTCGTGGCCATCTGCACTACACAGTCATTATGAATACCCAGTTCTGTGGGCTGCTGATTCTCAGAGCCTGGTGCATTAGTGTCATGGGCTCCCTTCTTAAGACCTTGACCATTTTGAGGCTGTCCTTCACAAACATAGAAATCCCACACTTCTTTTGTGATCTTCCCAAAGTCCTGAAGCTCGCCTGTTCTGACATCCTCATCAATAACGTAGTGGTGTACTGTGCAACAGGCCTTTTGGCTGTGATTCCTTTCAGTGGGATACTTTTCTCTTACTATCAAATTGTTTCCTCCATCCTGAGAATTTCATCCACTGGGGGAAAGTACAGAGCCTTCTCCACCTGTGCGTCTCACCTCTTGGTGGTGTCCCTGTTCTATGGTGTTTTCCTTGCCACAAAGTTAGATGATTTTGCCATTAAACTGTAAGAATAAACTGACATCAGGAATAACATTATTGCAGACAGAAGTAATATTACCTGAGTATCTCTAGTCAACACTTAAGTAAAAATGTTATGAAAATGAGTAATTAACCCTATATTAAAAAGACATCATGGTCACTGAAATAGCATAAAAGTCATGATATGAATGATCATTTATAAACACGTGTTGATGATAATGTCTATGGTAATATCTTTGCCTTGACTAATATGCACTGTATTCATGCTGGGAACAACCATGTTACACTGTAAAATGACTAAATGTAAATTTTAATAATATTTTTTTAAATGTGAGCAGGGACATACAATGATGATAATTCATATGGTAATATCTTTGGCTGGACCAATATACAATTAATTCATACTGGGGAAACTAAATAAAAATGTGAACAAGAAAACACCTTATTTTATTAAAAAAAAAAAAACAGCAAGGGAATTTATAGATTGTCCTAAGATTAAGAAAACACACATATAAAATTTACATAAAAAATAACAACACTGGTCATAAATAAACTTCAGCAAGAGAGTAAATGTACCAAAATGAATGAGGGTTTAAAGATGGATTTTGTGAGCTAACCAGTAGTATGGAGGCTACGGAGCTGAATCACACGTAGCCAGCTGCAAGGTTTTTGAGTCCCAGACCTGGTGGTTTAAAAACCCCATCGAGTACATGTGCATGCATGCTCAAAAATTAGAGAGGAAAGAGAAGAGGATAGAGAAAGATAGCAAGAGAACAATAGAGAGGCAGGACATTAGTGAGAAGCAGATATGGCTTCTGTTGATGATGACGTGTATAGTATTCTCAACTGGACTGGTTTGAGAAGTATTTCATGATGGATAAAGTCTTTTTACAATCAAAATGAGAAATAGTGATTGACCGTTTAAAAAATGATAATTAGAATATTAATAATAATGATTGGGAAAAACATTGAAAAGATATTGGATGATGAAGTGGGGAGATTAATGTCTCTGTATTGACTGACATGCATAGCATTCCTTTTTGAAAAAGCAATGTAATACACTGTAAAGTTATATGTAATCCAATGTAATATAAAGAAGATTATGAAGATAATAAAAATAAATAAATTTTAAAAAATTAAAAATTAGAGAGGAGACTGGAGGAGAGGGATTGCAACCTGGCCTTTCCCTCAGGGGGTAATTTTTCACTTTCTTGTCTTTGTCTCTCTCTAATGAGCATCCATACCCTATAAAAAAAACCTAAAAATAAAATAATAAATAAGATGGATTTCATTTGGTGAGATATGTTGACCTGATGAGAATGGGTAATGTTGGAAATTGTGTATTAGATTCTCATCTTAAAAAAAAAAAAGAGAATCTATTCTGAACTTGATATTTAGAAATCACCTTTAGGTTGAATGTATGGCAGACAAAATGATGACATATATTAAACACAAGCAATTATTAATTATAACAGTTTTATTTAAAAATTTGTAGCTGAAGGAGTAGCAAAAGTCCAGTTACCAAACATGTAGAAATCAAATCATGAAAGAATTTGTGGATGATTTTCACATTCCTAAATCAAAGCCCTAAGAATTCAAAAGACCTTGTCCAATCCCCTGCACCAGGACTATTATGTGGTAAACTATGGCAGCTAAATAGAGAGGAGATTCCCAATATACTGTTGCCTAAATAATTCTCAGAAGGAAGAAGACTGATTTTGGCTCCCATATTACCCTAAAGGGTCGGACCCTCAAAAACTGTCTAGCTCCTTAGCTTCTAAAGAATTATATTCCTCAGAGAATTCGATAACAATACAACAATTTATTTAATGAGACACAATGAGAATTCCATCCTAATATCCTCACATGTTGTAAGGAATTCCTGTTATTGGACTTCTACTCCAATTTGGTTAATCATTGACAGGATACTCTACTATGTCTACCAGAGATTCCATGTGTAACTCTCTCTCTCTGCTCTTCCTGGGGACAGACTTCTTTTTTAACAATGATTCATGGGAAGAACAGAACCAGTGAAAGTGGACTCTTCAGGGATCTTGAGAAGTCAGAGCATCCTTGTAAGTACAGATGACTAAGCTATGGAGAGTTGGTTTCCTTTTCAAAGCATAACTTCCCAAGATTCTTAACAGGCAAAAAGGTAAAAGTTCAATAAGACCAAGAGCCTCCCATTTTTAGATCCTGGACTTGGAAATGGCTGCAGCCTAATGTTTCTTCCTTTTTTTTTG